TTGGACAGGGTGGAGGGTGACATCCTCCCCGATCATGGGTTCTATCCTGCTGCAGTTGGTTGTTCCCTTCAGTAAGGTCATGGGACTGCTTCCCATGGTGAGATGTTTAGCCTGGGAGGACCCGTGTTCACCAAGGGGTTAATGGCAGGAAGGGCCATTTCAGCCCTATCCTTCCTGTGGGTCCGGTTTTGGCCATCTGCGTGTCTGGCTCCCTGTTCCCAGAGCACCCAGTAGCTGCATCATCATTGTTCATTACTCTGGGCCCCAGAGTCTGGGCTGCGAGAGAGCCAGCAATGCAGGACAGAATTAATGGCTTTGTTCGGTAGTCTCGGATGAGGTCTACGGGAGCAATGTCACAGAGCTTGATTTTGGGAAAGTGTTTGATGCCTCATCTCATAAAATCTTGCTCGCCAAATTAATTCCAGGGGTCAGGTGGCTGGGAAACTGGCCATTGACCCAAGCAAAAGTCAGAGATGGGGGATAATGGATCTGTCAGGGAGGAAGCTTCCGGAAGACGCTGCTCTGGGGCCCAGAGGCAGGATGGTTCTTTTTTTTTTTTTTAAAGATTTTATTTATTTACTTGAGAGAGAGCACATGAGAGGGAGGAGCAGACTCCCTGCTGAGCAGGGAGCCCAATGCGGGACTCGATCCTGGGACTCCAGGATCATAACCTAAGCCGAAGGCAGTTGCTTAACCAACTGAGCCACCCAGGCGCCCGGCAAGATGGTTCTTAACTCCACCCTTGAGTCTGATGAGCGGGATAACCAGCCCATCAATTACAGGTGGCAGGTGAATACAGATGAGGCACTAGCTGGGAAGAAGATCAGGGGCAGTGAGTTCTGAGTGGGCGGTGAGTCCGTCAAAGCCCCGCCTCTCAGCGTCCCCATTTTCCTGCACCATGAGTATTTATAAATGCCCGTGAGGGCAGGGTGGCCAGAGGCGTGCCCTGCATGTCTTGTGGTGGCTGTGTGTTTGCCTTACTTGTCTTCTGTGTGTATGTTTGTCTCTGGGGCTGCAGGCTTCTCTCGCGCGTCTCTGGCGGGGCACTGCGTACGTGTACGGTCGCACAGGATGTATGCACTGCGTTCTTCCAGGGACTCGCGTGGCGCGGTGCCGCGGGCTCTGGCAACATACACCGAGGGGCGTGTGCGCGTACCTGGGAGTTCACACGTCTGTGTGTTGGTTGCGAACGTTCCTGGGGGTGTGGCTTGTTCCTTGTTGACGGAGTCTTTGCGTTAAGGCCACTCAGACCCGTCCAGCTTGACCGCGGAGATGAGAGTAACACCCACTCCGTTCGGTTGCTGTATATATTAAACGAGGTCACGGATATAAAAGTGCTGAACACAGTAGCTGGTGCTTAGTAATCAGCCCTTGGTGAATGGCGGCTGTTGGCTGTGCAGGGAGGCAGGGAGGTGTGAGCACAGGTGAGTAGCCCCCGTCTGCAGGAGGAGTAAGGGCAGGCTTTCCCTCCAACGGCAGAATATGGTCTGTGTGCCTGGGAGGCGGCTGGGGCGGAGAGGAGTTTGTAGTCCTGGACACAGCCCGTCAGTCCTGCAGCGGCCGCTCCATCTGGCGGAAGAGCTGGAGGAATCCAGGGGCCCTTTCTCTTCCTGGTGGGGCTTGGTGGGCGTGGCAGGAAGGAGCTGCAGCCCAGACACCCCCAGGAGAACAGGGCCCACCTCCCCCTTACCGAATGTCCCAGGTCCCCTCCCCACCTCCAACTTGTAATAAGGAGATAATGCTATTTCTTATTCTTTATTTGCCCAGAATGCCTGTTATTTTCTTTCTTCTAGAATCCAATTTTCTCATGACATTTCTGCCTAATGTAGCAAAACATGACCTTTGTGAAAGGACATTGCTGGCAGCCTGATCCCGGCCTCGGGCTCCCCCGGAACCCCCTGGCACACACTCCCAGGCTGGTCCTCCCTCTCAGATGGGCAGGGTCCCTACTTGACCTGCATTACTCCTGTTTCCCTGCTTCTCACTGCGGGGGCGGGGGGGGGGGCTGCTTCTGAGGGCTTCGCAAATCTGGAGTTCTGGCTGCAGACTCTCATGGGGTGCTGCTCAGTTTTAGCACTGGGGGTTCTGTTCAAGAAGGTGCTGGAGTGAGGAGGAGACCTCATGGCGGGCGGGCCTGTGTGACCTTGCCAGCCATTGCTACGGTTGTGCATAGAGAGTGAGCTGGGAGAACAGAACAGAAGACTTCTATCTGCATGAAGCCTTCTACCTTCGCTCACATTTGCTGAAACCTCACAGAGGCTCAGGGTAATGGGGACTCAAGTGTGGTACCGAAACCCCGTGTCCTTGTCCCCGAGGTCTGAGCTCCAGATGCAAACCCTAGTGTAAAGCCAGCCACTCGCTGGGCATGTGCACCTGATCCCCGCTCCACCCTCCTGAGCAGGAGGTGGGTCAGGGGAGCTGTGCCCCAGTGGTGTCCTTAAGTGGCCACCATGCAGGCCTTCCTTTATCACCCCTTTCCTCTGATCAGCGGGGCATGGAGGAAGTTTGCAGGCACAAGACAGACTGGGGGTAGGGGTTTTGGGAAGCTGAGCATGTGGACAGGTTAAGGTTTAAGAGGTTTTGGTGATTCTCATGCATTAGAGCTCTTCCTTCTGCGGGCAGGAAGCGGGGTATGGGGGTGTCTACCCTAGACAGCGCTGTGCGGACTGGAGGACTCTGTAAGGAGAGTGTTGGGTGCAGGGGGAGTGGAACAGGAAGCCTCGGGACCTCTACCTGTGGTCCCCTTCCTTTGTCCATCAGTTCCCTGCACCCGCAGAAAGGGGGCTGCCTTTCTAACCTAGTCACCAGCTGTCACCAAGGGTGCGGCCGCCTCCGATGTGAAGGGGAAGCCCTGTCCCTTAGGTTGTCCTTGTGTGTGCCGTCTGTTCCCCGTGAAAGCTCTACGTGCCGTCTGTGATCCCATCAGCCTGGACGTCCCCTATGACCGCCAGACCCAAGTATCCAGCAGGCTAGTTGATTTCTCTCTCTGGATATCTCAAACTTAGTTTTGCAAGGGGAGGCTCATGATCTGAACCCCAGATAGGACCCTTTTACAGCCTTCCTGGTCTCATTAAATGATCTGGCTGCTTGCCTGGTTGCTGGCATCTTCCTCCCTCCCTCCCAGACCCGATCCAATAGGAGGTTCTGGTGGCGCTCT